TCCTTCCCCCAAGTCCTAATCCAACTAGGGAAAGGGGGGGAGTCCTACTCCCGGTAGGAGTAGGACTCCTCCGGCGCACCTCCTCCTAGGGCCAGCCGCACCCCCCTTGCTCCTTTATATACAGGGGCAAGGGGGCACCTCTAGACACACAAATTGATCCTCGTGATCGTTTTCTTAACCGTGTGCGGTGCCCCCTTCCACCATACTCCTCGATAATATTGTAGCGGTGCTTAGGCGAAGCCCTGCGATGGTAGAACATCAAGATCATCACCACACCGTCGTGCTGATGGAACTCTTCCCCGACACTTTTCTGGATCGGAGTCCGGGGATCGTCATCGAGCTGAACGTGTGTTAAAACTCGGAGGTGCCGTAGTTTCGGTGCTTGATCGGTCGGGCCGTGAAGACGTATGACTACATCAACCGCGTTGTCATAACGCTTCCGCTGTCGGTCTACGAGGGTACATAGACTACACTCTCCCCTCTCGTTGCTATGCATCACCATGATCTTGCGTGTGCGTAGGATTTTTTTTGAAATTACTACGTTCCTCAACAGATAGATCATTGTGTGTGCGTAGAATTTTTTTATTTTCCATGCAACGATTCCCAACAAATGTGCCATGGCTACCATGGACGACGTTTTGAAGAAAATCAACTATTTCCGTAATCATAACCAGATTATCAAGTGGTCCGAAGAGATGGACAGGGACATGGACATAGGGGAACTATTAAGAGAGCATGGTCGCCTCCAAAAGGTGTTGACCAAAATCATCAACAAAGAGGTTGTAAATGAGGATGGGAGGTTTCATTTCCAGCTAGAGCGAGATGAAGAATGACTTCACCGAGTCGAAGACATGTTGCAGTAATCAATTGTGAGCGATACAGTGCTTCAAAACATCTTGATTCATTGTTCATTTTATGAGTTGATAATTTTACATGTTTATTTGTTTGCCCTACACTTTTTATGTTGTGTGTTTGCTTCATTAATAATCTTAATTATTGTAACACCGTTGTAATATGATTGTTTGAATTTCATGGGATGATTGAGTGCAAAATACCGCTTCAGCACCAAAATAACGCTGCCGCAGCAGCAATTTCTCTATGCTAACATCGGTACCGGTAGCGGGTAGCAAAGGTGCATGCCACTGCTAGTACGCGCAACAGTTGCGGGTAGCGATTTTACATGTGGCAGGAGGTCAATGGCGGGTGGCCTTGAGAGCCTGGCCCATCACTACTAGGCCTTTTGCACCCGCCACTACTGGGCATTCCTGCAGTAGTGGGAAGAGGAGGAGGAGGAGCTGGCTTCGATGAAGGTGGAGGCAGAGTTGCCGGGCTTCAACATGAAGTAGACGGAGGCGGAGTTCACCGTCACCCAGTCTGACAAGATGGCGGAGCAACAGGCCATCCTGGAGTCTATCCAGGATGAGGCCTATGTGTGCCGTCGGAGCCGGGCACATAGATCGTCGACATCTCCGACAATGAGTAGCTAAGTGATCGACGTAGTACGTAAGTTTATTTTGTTTGCATGTGTTTGTATGGATTTAAGAATCTAGTATGAAATGTCTGGATGCAACAAGTGAAATTTGAGGCATGCCCTAAAAGATAAAAGAAGGGCACGACAAGGGCCCTTGGCTATCAAAGTTTTCGCGTGCATGTGTTCATTGTGATTTGATGTGATCGATCCTGTGGGCGAGTTCTAACAGTTGGTATCAGAGCAAGGTCCAGAAGTCGAGCGCTTGCCCCGGGGTTGCGACCCGACTAGCGCCTCGGGGCGGGCGATGAACTCGCTGGGTGGTGCAGCGATGAGGAGGTTCTGGCGATCGTCGTTCGGCAGAGCGACATGGAGGAAGACGGCAGGATGTCGTCAGCAAGGTGGTAGAAGATGATCGTTGATGGGAGTGGTGGTGCCGAGGTGCGGTGCCAGAAAGTCATCAAGATCGTCGTCTACGAGGTGTTGGATGAGTCAAGGAGTCGTGCGAGTTTGCATGGTTAGTTGTCGTTTCGTCTGTCAGTCGTCGTCGTGTCCAAGTGCTCGTCTTGGTGATGATTCGTTGCAGTGGAAGCGGTGTGCACGGTGTTCCGTGAGTCATTTCCATGTCCTCGTGGAGCGTCCTGGTTGCGGTCAGTGTGGATTCGGTGTGATGCCAAAGGCGGACGATGGTAGGCGAAGCCATCGTAAAGCGAGGAGGTGTGCGATCAGTGGAGAGTGGATCTACTGCAAGCAAGTACAAGGAGTATGGTGTGAACCGAGTGCAAGGCAGCGGCCAAGCAATGGCGATGGCACAACATGGCAGCAAAGGAGAGGCGCTGCATGTTTTCAAGCGGTTCATACTTATTGTACGGATATGGTGATTGAGTTGATGTGTTGACTAGTCGCGAATCAGCAACGATTCAAGACTAGACGGAGCACGAGGAAGATGGCAAGTCAAGATTAGAGGGTGAATGTTAGAAATAATCTTGATTGAGTAGTAGTGTCATAACTTGAGTTAGTTTTCTAGCTATTGTATACGTGAGTTAGCTTGCCAGTTTGTCCTAATACTAGTAGCAGTAGGATTGGTCATGTACGTATAGGTTTAGGAATTGTATCCGGCTAGTTAGGATAGGTTGAGTCCTAGGAGGACAAGTCCGTTCAGAAGTCCAAGCCGGTGGCTTGGAGTCAGGTCATATGCGTGTGTGTATATATGCACGTATAGGGTTGCAAGATTGTAACAAAAGTGTGTGGAGAAAACAGAAAAGGACTGTGATATTTGGCACACATGTGTGATATAAGCAAAACTGCCATACCTCTATTTCTTTCATCTTAAAGTACTATACGATCCCTCGTTCTTTGACCTCGCCTCTTCCCAAATGATCCCGCAGGCTCGCCTGAGAAACCTTCTTCTCCCGCACATCTCGGGCGCTCACCCCCGAGAAAACTGCCACTTCTTCACGTCTACCACATGATTTTTCCTCAGGACAAAGTTACCATGTTATTTGTATGCAAGTTATCAGGCCTGTGTTGCATAACTTACCGTGCTATTTACATAGAACGTATTAGGTACTATGCTTCAACAACTACACCCTTTCAAAGTTACCACTGTGTTTTGTACAGAAGTTATAAGGTCTTCGATGTGTAAAATACCGTGGTATTTACACATAAGTTATCAGGGTATATGTACATCAACCTCCCCCGGTCAAAGTTACCATGGGGGATTGTACATGAGTTACCAGGTCTACAGTTCGTATATTATCATGGTACTTGCACCTAAAAACCTAGGTGTGTTTCGATAGCTTTTTCCATAGGTCAAAAATTACCATGATGTTTTTGCGTAACTTATCACGCCTATAGCACGTGTGCCCCTCATGGCACTAAACATTATATGACTTTCCCGTGGCACGCCATGTGTTGTGTTCATTCAAGAGGCCCACGCGCGAGGCGAGTGTATGTTTTTAACAACTTATATATTTTTCTTCCGTAAAAAAGTTACCATCATGTTTATATTGCAAGTTATCGGTTATGCGGTGCTTATATTATCATGTTATTTACACAAAAATTATTGGGGATGTTTTGAACAACTTTTCCCGGGGCAAAAAGTTATCATGTTATTTACACAGAAGATACCAGAGTATCTTTTCAAAAAAACATCCCTACGGTCAAAGTTACCATGGTGCTTCTACCTCAGTTATCATATGTGCGCTGCGTATATTACCATCTATTTACACATAAATTATCAGGTATCTTTTCACATTTGTTTTCCCCTATGGTTAAAGTTACCACGATGTTTGTATCTAAATTATCAGGTCCATGACATGAATGTTATCGTGCTATTTACAGAAATTATCAGGGGGCGGGTTCAACAAATTTATTCCCAATGATCAAAGTTACCACGATGCTTGAAACAAAAAGTTTTTCAGTGCTAACATATTAAAGGCAAAAACATGTCAAAAACAGTATTTCTCTTAGAATGTTCAACAATGAGTGTGATAGGTGAGGTGGTTAGTTCCCTTTGTTAATTACATGTAAACCAGAGATCAAATCCTAGTCTAAGCATTATTTTTGCTAAAAATTGAGAAGGCTTGTGGGGCCATAAATGACGATTACGAAAATTAGGAATGCACGAGCGGGTGTGCCCGATAAAATCAGGGAGAACGTGCGGGAAAGGAAAGAAATCAGAGGAGGACGTGCGGGAAAGGAAAGAAATCGGAGGAGAACGTGAGGGAAAGGAAAGAAATCGGGAGGTCGTGCGAAAAAGGAAGGAAACCGGGAGAGAATTGATGGCGTTGGATACGTGTGGCAGTTTCGCAATCTGCCACACGGTTGCCATATACATATTTCAAACAGAAAATAAAAGATAAAAGAAGGGCACGACAAGGGCCCTTTGCTATCAAAGTTTTCACGTGCGCGTGTTTATCGTGATTTGATGTGATCGATCCTGTGGGCGAGTTCTAACATGCCCTTGGAGTCAGGTCATATGCGTGTGTGTGTATATATGCACGTATAGGGTTGCAAGATTGTAACAAAAGTGTGTGGAGAAAACAGAAAATAAAAGATAAAAGAAGTGCACGGTAAGGGCTTTTTGCTATCAAAGTTTTCACGTGCGCGTGTTCATCGTGATTTGATGTAATCGATCCTGTGGGCGAGTTCTAACATGCCCGATCACTGCCGCGAAAACACCAGACGCGTCCGTGGGTGTTTGAGGGATCATATTTGATATATTTAACTGTAGATGCTCTTGTAGCAGGAAAAAAGTTCACGAACCACTCAAACAGAAGCTAGGGTCTGCGATCTTTCAACGGCACACCTGTGCCTGCCTACAGTAGCGATCGACGGCAGCTGCATGCCCTCTCGTAACACGTACCTGCGCCGACGACGCACTGTCGTGCCGCCCAGTGCACCCACGTGCAAGTGCCACGCCAACCAAAACTCGCCTATAAAAGGCAGCCTACACACGATGCTAAGCCCAGGCTCACTCAAACACAGCCACACAACACCCTCCTCACTACACCAGAACCTCCCAGTAGCAATGGCAAAGTGCCTCGCGGTCGCGCTCCTCCTGCTGGTGGCGCTCGCGTACTGCGACGGGAGGGAGCTGAACCAGAAGGGCCAGGCACTTGCAACGGCACGCGGTGCCGGTGGTGGCATCGGCGAGGAGAAGATTTTGGGGTTGCCAGAGTTGCCGCTTGTGGGAACCGTTACAGGGACCAGTACCGTTACCGGCCCTGCGGTGGTGCTTCCTGCTATCCCGGCTCACCCATGATCATCTCCGGTTCATGTGCTGGCTTACAAGATGAAGCTGAACTTGCGGCTTCAGACTTCTAGCCAGCACCCCGTCCGGAAGATAAACACCGGCCTGACCGGCGTTTCGCTCGTTTTCTTGTTCCTTGACGAGCGTCTGTATCAACTATCCTATCGTCTGTACTTCTTTTCAGTCCATGTTGTAGTGTTTTCCGTTCCTTGATGTGCTACATGCGTCATCAACGTGATAATAAATAGTTGTATTATTTTGTCACTGTGATCACCTCCTTGGATACATGTCAGCAGGTTGCATCATGGACGTGTATTTTATCACAAGGTCCCAACTCCGGAGTTGTTCTGGTAAAAGAAAAGGTTCATGCTTCGTTTGGATGTAGACATTCAAGGGCTTGGCATTGTATTGGCTCCAATGCCAAATACTCAAGACATTGATATTGCGCTTCAATGCCAATATTAGTGTTTGGATGTTTAGGTATTTCGTACTTGGAATCTAAGAGGAGCAACAATGCCAAATCCTGTTTGGATGGTAAGTATTGTATTGCAGTTTGCACATCTGTGCCTAGAAGGAGGGTTGATGAAGTCGTGCAGCTCGCACACGAAGGTGAGCATAGAGATAAGCAGGAGCGCCAGCGCAACCTTCGCCACGAACACAGGCTTCCATGTGTGGCCCGCGCCGGCGCCGACTGCCGACATCTCCGCCGTGTTCGCGCTAGATCGGCCCCCGCTCCACCTATGCCCCCGCGCTCCTCGCCGCCAGCGTGGGAGCCGGCCGTTGCCTCCATGTGATGAGCAGCAGGCCTTCGGCCCCTAGTCCTCCAGTGTCGAGCACTGCTGCGCCGGCGGCAGGAGCGGGGCCGCGGCGCCCATCCCCGATTGCCCTCGACCTCAATTTGGCGGAGAAGCCGTCGGCCTGGGATTCGCTTCGCGCCGCCGTCGACAGGAGAGAATGAGGAGGAGTGCGGGAGACACACTGCCATGTGCCGCCGTCGAGGATCTGCTTCTGTTTACTCCTGCTAGCGAAGGGTTACGCGAGGCGAGCGAATACATAGGAAAACGGAGGGGTTCAGCTCTGAATTGAGGATTGGGTCGCGCGAGTGTTATCGCTGGCCGAGAGATATTCGGCTCGAATGCCACGCCCGAATGCCGTGACCATCCAAACAGCGATATTCGGGCTGCCGAATACCAAATCCTAATTCTAGGGCTCAATATATACATCCAAACGGACTGTCAGAGTTTTAGGATTCGTATCTACTGGTATGTAAAATATTTGAGGCGAGCTGGTATTTGTATACTTGTATCAAAGCGTTGTCAAGGCAATCAAACCTATAATAATATCCCAACAGCATCAAACGGGCAGTACAGATGTAGGGTGCATGTGCACAGATCCAAAACAACTAAAATAAGGAGAACTCCTTGATACAGGTTCTATGAAATCTACAACGTGTTTTCACAACCTTTCATGTTCTTCAATGGTGTATTTTGAGTCACTGAACCGAGCGGTGTAGCAGCCCAGGTCCGCTTGATCAGGCATCCATTGGTCAGAATACAATTGTAGGCGGAGCCGGCGGCAAGTACGAAGTTTGATATATATTATGGGTTAGGCCAATATCCCATGGCAAGGGCCAACTGTAGACGATTGGTAAAATGAATAGTAGTCGAACTTTTAAAGGTAGGGGTATGTATACGGATTTCGCAAAAGAAAGGGGTATATATATGGAAAAATCAAGAGACACTTGGGGAGTATCGAAGTATTCGTCATGTGAGTATTTGTATACAAAAATCATAAAGAGATACTTGACAAGAATCAACATATTCCGTTCTGTGGGCAAGGGATTTTGATTTTCGATAATGGGCGGATTCTATTGGCTCAAAATGAAGCATCAAGAGAATACAAACACAAAGAGCGCATTCCCGTCCTCTGCATAGTTAGGATGCATACAACCAACATTAATGCACACACACGCAAAACACGTCGGGAGTAGCAAAGTCATATAAGACTAAAGCTATACGTAGGCGAGGAAAAAAAACAAAGCGATTAGGTTCGCGATCGGCAAACCACCAGGATGACAATATCTGCACCACCATCTCATGACACCACACAAGCGGCGAGTTTCTTCAACAACAACGCCTTCAAGAAGGATCAATGCTCGAGCGCCACCATCACTGGATCCGATCATCCAATGTAAGAATCTAGGTTTTCACCATGAAGAGTTAGTCTGAGCATATTCGAGTAGTGCCTTCAACAAAGTAACAACATAAAAGTGTCGCCATTGCCATGTATAACCAACACAGGTTAGACCTGGCACTACTAGGGAGAAGCCTAGTAGTGGCACGGGGTAAAAGTCTAGAAGTAGCGCGAGGGCCCACGCTGCTACTACCACGGTACAGCTAACATGTTAGTAGTAGCACATGCGCCAACCTGCGCTACAACTACTTAGGTTAGTAGTAGCGTGGGTCTGGCGCCCGCGCTACTGCTACCTCTGTGTATTTTTTCCTATGTATTTACATGTATTTATAGAACAATTATACATGTTTTATACAGTCCAACATATACATGCATCATTGAAGTTATATGATTCAACAATTTCTCATCATCATCTTAGTGACACAACATTGTCTCATCATCATCATAATCATTATACGTTAACCACTAGCTAATTGTTATGAAGGTTGACTAAAATTGCACCAACTAATTGTTGTCATCTTAGCTAGATAGCTACCCAGCACATAGTAGTGGAAACATGATCGAGGGTACAAACATCCAGTAGTTAGTTAGTATCGAGCATGACAAGTATTAGGACCTACTCCTCTCTTTTAGGGAAAATTAAAAAGAATAGGAAATTGGTCTTCTCATGGCAAGTAATTGTCATTTCACCTTGCACATCCATCATCGCAGGCACAACAACTCTTGGGAGCTTCTGTTGAAGAACATAATAGTAACATAGTAAGCAGTGTAGTTTATTTAGCAAGAATGTATAAAAAAGAAGGACTAGTGACACAATAGTAAAAAAAATTTTACCATGCATTTTCTACAAATGTTAGTATCGCTCAACTTGTGGACTAGTGGCACATATCGTGTAGTATTTCGGCTAGCTCCATAAGTGCCCTTAAACGACTGCACAACAATAGCAAAGGAGACGGGATAATTATTCTCCTCCCAAGTAAGATCTGAGCCACTAGTGTAATAGGTCTCCTCTACTATATTCCATGTTTTTCTTGGAGATATAAAATAAGCTATAAATTTTAAATAAATGAGTTAAGTTAGGGGTTCATAAAAACTATTTTTAAATAAGCAACATAGATTATTTAAAAAAAGAAATTTACACGGAGGAAGAATTGGAATCATGCGCAGATCCACCTAAATGTCTTGATCATATTGAGGAAAGGTGACTGGATCATATTGAGGAACGATCCAATATCGAAGCTTATGCTCATACCAACCGCAAATCTGCAAGCCTTGAATAATCCTCTCCAATTTGCACAAGCAAAATATGTGTCAGTGTCACCTTCATGATTGTAGATCGTAGCCTCAAAAATGAAACCATGTTTCATCGTAAGGTAAGCTGTCCTCTCATCCACCTTATCCATGTCATCAAAATAAAGCTTCTCTAGGACATAATGCATTGCATGGTAGGGGCTGCACTATTCGAATTATATATATATAAAAGAAATTACACATTAAACCAAAAATCTTAAGTTATGTTTAATTAAGAAGGAAATATGTGCATAAGTACCGTATAATATTTGTAGCCCTCTTTAAGCGTGAGGGAGAAGCACCTATCTTTTTCCAAGTGAGGATCGCAACCCAGCGGTGTATTTTGAGTCACTAAACCTAGCAGTATAGCAGCCCGCGGTCCACTTGATCAAGCATCCATTGATCAAAATACAATTCAAGGTGGATCCGGGGGCAAGTACGAAGTTTGATAAATATCATTAGGCCAATATCCCATGGTAAGGGCCAACCGTAGACGATTGGTAAAATGAATAGTAGTCAAACTTTTAAAGGTAGGAGTATGTTTATAGAAAATGAAGAGATACTTGGAGAGTATCGAAGTATTCATTATGTGAGTATGTGTATACAAAAATCAAGAGTTACTTCACATGAATCAAAATATTCGTTGCATTGGCAATGGATTTTGGTAGGTTGGGACTTCTTGAGATAATAACCCTACTCCTGCATGTATTGCAAAACAAAGGTTTGCTTTGCTAACACCCTCCCTCCCCCACCCCCCACGCAGAAGTTATAGATCTTAAACCACACTTTAGGCCTCCTTTAGTTCATAGGGATTTGGTGGGAATTCTAAAGGGTCGAAATTTGTATAGATTTTTTTGACACCCTTTGATTTGTAGGAATAAAATTATATTCATGTAGAGGATAGGAAGCAAATCTTTGTATTTAAAAAGAAAAAAAAATAGCCTAGACCCAGTAGAAAAAAATCATATCTTATGAACCAAATGACATCTCCTTCCCTAATATGATTGGAGATGCATGTCATGTCAATTTTCTCTGATTTTCCTATTCTCATGAAATTCCTATCCTATGAACCAAAGAGGGGCCTATAAAGAGTAATTATGTACTTTATGGTTTTCATATCCCCATGAAATTCCTATCCTATGAACGAAAGAAGACCTTATATACCCCGTTGCGTAAAGAGTAATTATGTACTTAGACCCACTCCATAAAGAGTAATTATGTACTTTAGACCCCCGTTGTGTAATTCTATCTGTGTTAACTACAACATCCACATCTCATTATATCGCTCAAAATTTGGAGCAGGCTCATGATCAAATCCAACGAGTGGATTTGTGGATGGGCTGCGTGGACACCTGATCGCTCCCCTAATGCCCATCTTCGAGTTGGTCTGCAGTTTTGATGTAAAATAATTTTGGTATTTGTTTTCCAGATTTTCCGTATCTGAAATTTTTTTCACCTAAAAAGTCCAAAAGAATAATTGCCTCTTGGCACTGGATTAGTATGTTACTCCAAAAATGATACTCCCTCCG